TAAGAACTACTACTATATATAATTCTAACCAAATTGCAAATTTCAACACGTTATAATGCCGTTTCCTGACCATCAGATTTCTGTCAAACCTTCCCCCCAAAGTCCAGGAAATGGCATTTCAGAGACCCTAAATTCAAAACTTTTCCGAGGGGGCATGCCCCTGGACCCCCCTAGAGAAACCTCGCACCTGCGGCGCTCGGCGCGTGCCTTCGACACTCGTTTATCAAGCATTACAATATAGGGGCGCATATTAGTTGAAAGCCAACTGGCCCCCCCCAGAAAATTAGTGCCCAGCACGCCACTGCGGAGAAGGCACGTGTTTCTACGGAGAAGGCACGTGTTTGTACGGAGAAGCTGCATGTTTCTGCGGAGAAGAGGTGCCCCGTTCGGGCCACCGCATCGTGTTTCACTCAAATGCTACGCGTTTCCGCGGAGAAGCTGCGGTGTTTCCACAGAAATGCTGCGTGTTTCCACGGTGAAGATGCGTGTTTCCACGGAGAAACTGCATATTTGTACGGAGAAGAGGCTTTCCGTGACAGAACAACGGCAATATTCCACGGAGAAGTTTGATTTCCATGGAATAACAACACATTTGTACGGAGAAGGTGCAAGTTTGTACGGAGAAGGGTTGGCCCGTATGGGCCACCGTAGAGTTCTGTTATATTACGAGGTTCTGCCTGCAGAGTGCATTGTCTTGCCACCGCATTTGCCATAAAAATACAGATATATAACAAAATGACAAATACGTACATGTAAATGAAGTGATGTAATGTAATGTAATGTAATGTAATGTAATGTAATGTAATGTAATGTAATGTAATGTACTGTACATTTTCTAAAATTTCTGCACTTATATTACCACAGGCACATCGGCTTGTCCTAATGGTCGGTTCTTTTGCCAGAATAATGGATACCTTGCCATACTTCTACCATCTTCTAGAGTCAATGATGGCATTTGTGGTAAGCAAATATATTTGACATTCCTGCAGAAAGTTTAATATTATATGTTAATTTAAGCAGCTTACTCCAGTACTTATCTGAAACAGGCCAGATTTGTGGTACAGTACATCTTTAAAAATAAGACTGTTCTACAGCTGCACTTCGGTTGATAGGGATGCCAGGAGAAGAATACAAGGAGAAGTTGTATTTTTTCAGAACTTGGACTTGGACAGAGTTTGGGAAAAAAACAATAAATGTTTCTCCGAAGAATTGGTAAACACCAATTTATGTAACAGTGTAGTGATGAAAAGTGAAAGAAAAAATACTTTTCAGGGTCGTGTTCAATTATAATCCAAGATCATTCAAGTACAAATGAACCAATATAAAAAAGCGATTTCCGATACCGATTGTTCAAGACTATAGCCGACACATACCCAACATCGGTCGATTAATTGGCATATCCGATGACTGATTTGCCTAATGTTCACGTTTTTTCGAATTGTCGTTTTACTGTTTTACTTGACACAACTCGCGATAAGAGGATGCCATCACGCCAAATCTCTATTTTGAGCACAACAAAAGTACAGGCTGTACAGCACAAACAGAAAATAGACAAGTAGTGAACAGTAGTTTTTATAATACAGTATTACGCATGTCTGATCAAGATTGAAATTTTTATTGTTCACAGAAAATATTTTTAAACCACATACTGACAGATACTCCCGATATATTATAATGGGAAATCATGCTACTGGTATTAAACTAAATGCGCATTTGAACAACGACTTATTGGAAAAGTCTGTAATGGAATTTTGCATAATATTGAACTTTTTCCATGGTATATGTATAACAACAGAAAACAGAAATATAACAGAAAACATAATTTAGAAAGTTCGGAAACTAAAAACTGTTACAATATTATTTTATAGCCACGGACGTTTATTTCAAAGTTCACATACTCGATACTTAAGTGTACAGTAGACTTGCATTTATGTTTTTGAACATTATAAAGATGTGTGCTTTTTACACAATCTTCACAGATTGCTGTGACGGCTCTGATGAGTATGGAAAGCGAGGACTTTGTCAGAATAATTGTCTGTAAGTATTTATTTAAACACATTTTCTTTTAAAATAATCGCTACAGGAAACGGCATCAAGACAACATTTTTAGTTCCGGGCAATCCTGTTTTCAAACTATGGCTATCCTGCTACATGAATCTCACTTACTTTGTATACCAATGTCTTTGCCAGAGCGACAGATGTGTTGCAACTTTTGTTCTCTTTTCCCTCATGACGTTATTCATATACAGTAGTCATCTCTATATCCAAGATAATTGTATATATCGTTTCCTGGACGTACAGGTATGCAATATTACACGAGGCAATTTTTATTGCAACTTGCAATGTAATTTCTGGCAATACATGTACCGTAGCCATGTCATGTAGATTGTAGAAATATTATTTTTGAGTGTAATTTGGGAAAAAAGCATGCACGAGTGAGTTTTACAAAAGCGATCAAAATCGCACCAGTTAGAAGACTAGCGCAATTTTACTTCAGTGAAATTTTTGCAAATTGAAGGAGAAACCATACTACCGTTTATTTCATTGCGTGCCAAACGTTTCCAGTCGATATGCTCCTTATAATGAACTTATTATATTCACGTACGATTTTCAGTTAAAAGTGTTCAAAAAGTCGTCAAAAAATGAAAGTTTATATGTTGCTAATACCTGCCGCCATGTTGATTTTCCTGCCTCTTCCAGGCTCTGCTCTTGTTAATTTGCGCTGGAGAAATTGCACAGTGTGCAATTTAAAGGACATTGGCAACCAAAATTTTTATTACTTATATCTATTAGGTATACTTACGGAATATTTAATTTCATATTTTTGCCCATTTGTCGCGTTTAGTTGTTGAGAAAATTTAATAAAAAGTTCAACAGTTGTCTGCCATTTTGAAAATAAACGTGTGTGCTAATTTATGCCACAACATACATTATCTGACGTCATTAGATGGGTAAACACAATTTCATGACTATAAACAACACCGAGTATTACCACGCGTAGTGCACTTTGAGCCAAAACAAAAGCCAGAAAAGTTTTACTAAGTATGTAACCTGTTTGTAACACTATTTCTCATAGTATATATCCTACTCCGTGTACTCCGTGTTAAACAAACGCAGAAATTCGAGTGTAACAAGGCAAATACTAATGCAATATTTTGTGATCAATTACCTGTATTGTAAATTGCACCATTCCTTGCTTTCCCAGTCGCTCGATATGTTTTTATCTGATAGTGTAGACTTCTCTTGTTTGATTGCGAAGAGTATTGGCCAGTATGACGCTCAAAAACGACATATTTTTAGCTAACATAACACGCACGCAATATATTTCTCTCTTGTAGTTTTGGTGCTACCCATCTAATGACGTCACAAAGTTCGAGATAATTTTTCAAAAATATTTTCCAAGATGGCGGCGAAACACAAAGTTTGCATGCATTTTTCTCGTAGACTAAAATATTCGAGAAGGAAATGATAATATTTTCATAGTTATGTCGTCAAGTAAGATTGAAATAGCCAATAAAAATTTTCGTTGCCATTGTCCTTTAAAAGAAAAAATTGCAGAAATTGCACTGCTCTTAGCCAATCAGAATCGAATAATTTTATCATGTATATATTAGCAGAGAAATTGTGAGCGTGGTTCGACGCCGTGTTACGGGTCTCTACCATCGTATTCTACACTTAGCCAGGGCTCGAAATAACGTTCCCGATCATGGTGATCGGCAATCACGATTTTTTGCCGATCAAATAAAAATCTGGCCGATCAGGAGCATTTGCCCTCATTTCCTTGAAAAAAATTCTAAATATGCCAGTGAATACACATCTGAACAGGAAGTTTAACTTTATTTCAAATTCAACTTTAAATCTACGACATTTGTGTACTTATATATACAAAACTAATAGTGTATAACTATACATTTAAAATGTATTAATAAACTTTAGTTTATTATAACACTTTTCAAGTTTTAATTATAGTATTGCATTTTTCACACAAAAGCAAGAAACACAACAGCATTATCAATTAAGAACTAAAAGTTAGTATTTAATATTAAAAGAGAAAATCCTACTAAAAATTAAAAATCCTACTAAAAAAATCCTATCAATTTGAAATTATTATAACAAAGACGTGCATCGTCAGCGATTCGGATTGCAGACTGTTGAAGAGACGACAATACTTCATGCAAATTTGTTTTATAGAAAATTAATTACTTTAGAGCGAGAATAATCTTGCGGCCTTTCCTGTCGTATATGACTCGTATCAACTAAACAAGAGCTTTTCGCGTGTTTTTGAATGTGTTTTTACTGTTTTATATTACTTTTAGTTGTCTTTTACCGCGTACAGGTTGCATGTCTTTCAGACAATGGTCAAGATGAACGGCAACATTGCTTCTTCACCGATCAAAAACAATTTCCTGCCGATCGTTGATCGTTGATCGGCCGTTATTTCGAGCCCTGTCTTAATATACCCAAAAGGGAACGAAAATTGAATAAATGCGGAAAACATTAGTGAAGTAAAGGGAGACCCATGTTTTGCTTTTAGTTTAATTGGTATTATTGTATATACATGTATACAGGGTGTATCAAAATAAATGCAATTCATCTTTTGTTCTTAATAACTTTCGAAACACTATTTCTAGTTAAACGCTTTTAGGCTTACTTCAAAGCCTGTTCTTTTCTCTTTCAAACAAACTATTATCCTTGTCTCCAATGCTAGTAATAATTGCACAGGAAAAGATTTAGTAAAACCTATCATTTTTAGTTGCTGTTTAATTATGCAAATTTACTATGTTATTGTTTAGTCAGTTTAAATCGGTTAGAATTTTCTTCTTTAAACTTTAATGTTGTCGTCACTACATCTGGAAAACCACATAAGAACAAATTAAAAGTATTTTAAAAGAGACCAGGTTGTATGAAAATCTAAACGAATGCTAAAAATCGTCAAAACATTCTGATGTCTGAGCCAGAGTGTCATCGAATTGCGATGTAATGTAAACAGAAATTATAGCAAGTTTATGTCAGTCAGTTTAGTTGGTCCAAGCCAAAATTATATCGCATTTGAAGTTTCAAACTGAGTTAAAAATAGTGGAAGAAAAGCCGTAATTATACTTATTGTTACAATCCATTTAATAAAATGCAACATTTTTTGTTTTAATGAAAAAATCAGTTATTTTCATGAGAACGATTTGTTATTCCATCTCACTTTTTTTAATCTCCAATCGCAATAACGTAAAGTATTATTACCCGCGAACCAATGAGTCAAATTTAAGAAACAACCCACTGTTAGAAAGCTGAATGGCTACGCTTTAAAATGAATGTAAACTTTGACGTTTTCGTCTATTATTTGTTTAGCAATTTACATTTCAGTCCAGGATTGCGTTTTTTTTTATACACCCTGTATACATTGTTTAGAAATACAAACACTTACTATCTATTTACAACAATTTTAAAAAAGAGAATTATGTTAATTAAGTTGTCGATATATTTCCCTCAAAGTCCTTGTAGTGATGATTTAACAAAGTTTTAAAAGAATATATACAAGGAAAGTTGGTCGTTTACATCGACAATTTCAGCTGGAAGACTATTCCAGGATACAGCTCCGCGGTATGAAAAGCTATTTTCCATAAAGTTTGTGTTTGGTTTGTTTAAATAAAGTTTTCGATCATTACTTCTTAATTGATACGTGTCATTATGACTGGCGACAAACAGGTCTGACAAGTAGTTAGGCGTTTCACGCCGTAATGCTTTAAATGTCACAATGTGTTCACGTTTTTTAAGAATGATTTCAATGTTTCCCAACCTAATTTTTCAAATAACTCTGATGATCTTATTTCATAATTTGAACCCGTTATCACTCGAGCGGCTCGCTTATGCAATTTGCGTAGTTTTTCAATATGTGCACAACTACCATCATTCCATACATTCGAACAGTATGTGAAATGAGGTAGGACAAGCGCATTAAACATGTTTAGAAGAGTGTCTTGACTTACAAAGTGCAGTTTGCTCTTTTTAAGAGAGCAATTGACTGGGAAATTTTTTTGCATTGTTCATCGTTATGTTCTTTCTACTTTAACTGTTCATCAATAATGACCCCAAGAACTTTCTTACTTGAGACCTGCTGTATAATATGGTTGCCAATAACTATTTGAGGATTACTTGAAGGTTATTGTAGTCTCTGTCTTGAACCTACCAGCATGCATTCAGTTTTTTGCTGATTCAATGTTAATTTGTTGGCAATTAGCCATTTGTGTACGTTTTCTAAGTCAGTGTTAATTTTGTTTTCGATTTCTGTGGACGATTTACCTTGACAAAACAAGTTTGTATCGTCCGCAAACATAGAAGCTTGTGTTTCTTCTAGGCAATTAGGGAGGTCATTAACGTATAACAGAAAGAGTAATGGGCCAAGGTTTGATCCCTGGGGAACACCGCAAGTTACATTAGCAACTTCTTACATTATATTTTGAAGTTTACATATTTGTTTTCTTTCAGAGAGATAAGATTGAAATAAGTGTAAAGCGGTTCCTCTTATTCCGTATAGTTCTAGCTTAGAGATTAGAATTTTATGGTCAACAGTGTTAAATGCTTTTTTGAGATCTAAAAATAAAAAGCCATTAATCAGACTTTTGTCCATATAAATAAGACATTGGTTAGCGGAATGTAGGAGTGTAGCTTCGGTTGAGTGAAGGGACGAGAGAGATCACCAAAATTGAATTTTGTTTTAGGAAGTCAGATATTTGATCATAAATAATCTTCTCCAAGATTTTTACAACAACTGCTATTATAGAAATAGGTCTATAATTACCACAGTTGGTCCTTTCTCCAGATTTATAGATTGGAGTAACTTTTGCAAGTTTCATATCATCTGGAAAAATACCAGTGTTCAAAACAAGATTAAATAAGTACATGAGTGATTCAATTATGGAGTCCCCTGCTGCCTTAAGTAATTTACTAGAAATCTTATCAAGGCCTGGTGCCTTAGATGCTTTAACCTTCTTTAACACGCTCACCAATTCTGCCCTCGTAATATTATTAAATTCGAAAACATTTGTTCCAGGAATCATATAACGTAAGGAGTCGAAATCTGATGGTGGTATATTTTCTGCAAGTTGTGGTCCTATCTTACAGAAAAAGTTATTAAATTCGTTTGCAATGTTTTTTGTAACCGGTTATCTTGTTGTGGTTAATTGTAAGTTTATTTATAGAGGTAGTCTTCGATTTCTTATTCAGTAATTTATTTATAATTTCCCAGCTATCCTTGCTATTAGTACTATTCTCCAAACTAGTTTTGTAGTAATTTGTTTTAGTGACTTTGATACGACTGTTTACTTCATTTCTACATTTTTTACATGCTTCGTGGTACGCCGGAGAATTAAGGCTTACTGCTTTCTTTCTGTGTCTGTGTCTGTGCCTGTGCCTGTGGGTCGGCACGATAACTCAAAAAGTATCAAATGGGACTAAAGGTCCAGACACACCACACTGGACGCGATTCGACAACGCGACGTGATTTTTTAGTTTTTGAATGTTAGTAAAACAGCCAATGAGAGCAAAGTATAAAAGATATGTAGGCCAAACAATTCGAAATATTATAGCGTTTCTGAATATTTGGAAAATTTAATCGAGGATCAAAGTTCTCGGTCAGTAAAAATCGAAAAATCGCGTCGCGTTGTCGAATCGCGTGCGGTGTGTCTGGACCTTAAAGGACCTTAATCCAAAGAATGCCAAAGCCCAAGGAGGCATATACAAGTTCCCTACTTACATATACTCCAAATCTCAAATCTCTCTTCAAGCCCCCCTCTTTTTAGATGAAGAAATTAATTAGGCCTCTCTTTTTCGATGAAGAAATTAATACACAAACACGTATCTTTTGATAAATCTATTGATTTTCTGTACAACAATCTGAACAATTTGTTTTATATACAAAATCCTGATATCATTTACAGATGGGCGGATACTTCCCCCCTTTTCTAAACCCTCCTTCTCTAATAAACCACTCCCCGTCAAAGTTGTCTGAAAAACGTAACCCCCTCGTTACTAGACAGATTACGGTAATTTGTTTCTATTTACAAACGTTTTAATGCTCCAGGTTTGAATGGCAAAAATTTAGGTCTGCTTTCCCCAACAGCAAACAATAATGTACCATTTTAGCTAAATGATTTCCGTTGAGAATAATTATCAAGAGAAGAGATGCAAATATTCAGTAATGTTAAAGCAATGGAACTGAATATGTTAGTATTTTACATTTGGAAATTGGTCACTAGGACGTCATGTTTTGGTGTGGGCCGGATAACAATGGTAATATTTAACATGGTCTCATGGTGTTTAACATCTTCACAGCTTCCTTTTTCAACATCGTCTTTGTCCAAAAAAATATCACCGAGTTAACACTGGAATTGCACAGACTAAGCGTTATAATCCAGATTTTTATTGCTAGCACTTCAAATTGATCGAGGCTTGGAAAAAAGGGAACAGCAATCGTTTTAGGGAGGAATCGGAGAATACAAAAACAAATGACAACTATAAAACAAGATTTTGCTTGTTTAATTTCTCGAAGAAACAATTTCATTCTTGTCAAGTTTACTTCCGAAGCAGCGTCATGTGGTTTGTTTTGCGATTGAGCTAACTTTCTAACCACCAAGTATATTCTTGTGTAGACAAATGCAATGAAGAAGAAAACAAATGTGATTTTCACCGTTGCATATATCTCAATAAGCCTAAGATGTTCAAAAGATAGAATGATAAAAAAAAGATCCACAGCAGCAAAACAACCGACATATATCAACAGTCTCCTTTTTGTCACCTGTGTGCTGTAAGCATAGGGATGTAAGATGGCAATGTATCTTTCCACTGTCATAGCAGATAATGTGATAGCTGACACACTCCGACTGGTACCAAATTTGCACGAGAGGTCAAACTTGTTGTAATGAATTTTGAAATTCCTTCTGTACTGCTTGCCAAAAAGAAGATAAATAGGGGTATGCCTACAACACCAATTGCCAAGTCAATCACGGACTGAACAAGAATGATAAAATAACAAGGCTTGCTGTGCAGTTGTGAAGATTTGAAAATCGTTAACACTGCAACAGTGTTGAGTAATATCGTCGGAATGATCAAAATACCATTCAAAGCAATAGCGAAAATATGATTTATTAACAAGTTATTAGATGGAAGTTTGGTTATAATGAAATGTGTTGATCCCAAGATTTGACATGGTATCTCAAACTCTTGTTGTGTCACTGACCGATTCATTTTGCTTTGTTCCCTGTTGTAGAAGACGCCAAAGATAATAACACCAAAAGAAAGAGAGCGGTTGGCTTTTAAATTAGTCAATGTCCACGTCGCTTCTTATATATTGACGGAACATTAACATGAATAAATAGACTGAACTTTTAACTTTAATTTGATGCTTAATGGAAGATAATTTTCTTGATTGCACTTGCTCTTAGAAACGCCCTCGTTGTCATTTGTCAAATGTAATTATGCTAAGTATGTGAACTGGACAACAGTGCTTGAGAATAACTGGAGGGCAGTGCAATATAGGACGAAACAGGTGGTATGTCAGAAATCGGAAAGGAAAATAATTTGAACAGCTGAAACGAAAGAAGTACTTAGAATATTCAAAATATATTTTAGTACAAATTTTTAAAGAAAGATGAAATTCAGGATTTCACTTGAACGTGTAATTTATTTCTTGAAATTCAATATTAATATAGAGCTAGCTAGGGCGTGAAAAACAAAGGAATATATCTTGTTCATTATGTTGCAATCTTATTTCACAGATAAAAATGATATGATTGGAGGATTGGAAAGCAGGACTGATATCCCATTCCCGTATTAAATCGATCTATTAAACAGTAAGTCATAGACACAACAGAATCCAGGATAAGCAATATATATACACCTACTATACACAGCACAAGAAACATGCATGAGCGAAAATTTGACAAGAAAAACAGCTATGAGGGTAAGTATTTCCGCTTGTCGGAAATAAAATAAACAGAGGAATGCCCAAAAGCACCAACTGCGAAGGCAATCACGGACTGTACAAAAATGATAGAATAACATGAGAGTTTGCTGTCGAATTGGGAAGAACTTAAACTCGTTGTTGCAACAGCGTTGCAATGTTGCAGAAATTATCACAATGCTATTCGGAACAATAGCGAAGATGTGAATGATAAAAGATTTTGTAGATGGAAGTTTGGTGTAACAAAATACGTAGTTCGAAGAATATGACATGATATTTCAAAAACGGGTATTGTAGATGGAAATTGTCGAGTGGAAATTTGTATACATTTATTAGATCTATAACCAGGAACAGAAGCGAAAAATGCAATTTTAGGTCCTTGGCAGGGATTGAACCTGCGGTCCTGCGACTCCGGTGTCAAAAATCTTGATATTTCCAAAACGTCTTGTTCCAAAGAGAGAATCATAATATTCTATTGAGTAGAATAATTTGAATATTAGGTTTAGTAAACATCCAGTAATTAGATGTCTCACTTATGCTTTTCATTGCCTTTCGATGCATACAGTTACAGTATACTACATTAAGTGACAAATCAACCTTAAATTCCTAGCTGCACTCTTCTCATTACTTAGCATAATAACATCGTATGAATGACAATAAAGCCGTACAAACAGTAAGTGCACACTAAATTATCTTATAGCCATTAAGTACCAGGGGTCATGCTAAGAAAAACTGCCCATTTCGACAAGAACAGAGGTAGTGAACACAGGCTATCTGTGTGGCAGTAACGAGAGACGAGGTCATGGCATACTGGATTCTTGAGTAGCTAGGAGGGTCGTGAGGTATGCTCCCTCGGAAAATTTTGAATTTTAGAAGTCCAGAATGGCCATTTCACGCGTTTTCAGAGTGACATTTGGTTTAGTTTTTGCCTTAAATATCTGTATGGGCGCTTAATTTATAACTAATTTTCATATAAAGCTCGAAAACTCGATTTTAGAACTGCTCATTTTGAGTTTTAGGACTACCCATTTTAAATTTAGAACTACCCATTTTGGAAAATGGGAATCCTTACGATGACTCCTGTTATTTTAAGTACTTTTACAGTTTAATAAACGAGCAGGAGTGTTTTTTTAGGTTTAACTAACCCAAGTCTTTCATAAGATGTTATTATGCTAACTAATCTGAATCAGAATCAGAATCAGAATCAGAATCACATTTATTTCACACGTATTTAAACTAAGTAAGAATAACATACAGAAAATTTATATAGTTACAAGAATCAAAGCCCACATATTAAAACTGCTATATTAAACAAACGTGTACAGTGATCAAAATAGCGGAATGCTTTCGAGTTGATCACTGTATATATGTATCATATTATTATATAAAAGTATATGACGGCGACATAACAGAGCTGTGTGGTATTTATATTTGGGAATAAATAAGGAATTGACTATACCTATTCTTAAAAACAGAAACTGAATTTGACTCTTTTATATGGTAAGGAATTGTCTCCCAAATTTTTGATGAAATAAATCTGAAAGTAAAGATTCCATAATTTGTTCGAGCATTCGACCTAATAAAATTTTGTTTTTCAGCAAATCTAGTAGAATAAGAGTGCTGAGTAGATGCAGTAGAAATGATATTTGAAAATATCCTAGGGATATTTTTATCTTCGTTTATAATTTTGTATGTAAATGTGGCTATTTTCAATTTAAAAACGTTGTCTAGCTTTAGTATGGAAAGTAAATTCATGTATAATGTTGCACTTTCTTTTTTGGATGCAAAAAACATATTTTTTATGCATTTATTTTGACATGTTCGTACTTTATTAAGCTTTGTTGCATAGGTGTTACCCCAACTCATCAGTCCATAATTAATGTATGGGTAAATTAGAGTGTAATATAAATGTTTAAGCATTTTCAAATCTAGGTAATATCTGAGTTTATTCATTATTCCAGTGTTTTTAGCAATTTTACTATTTACGTGTTTGATCTGATACTCCCAATTTAGATTATTATCAATATATATACCAAGATATTTAATAAAGTCTCTTTTAACAATGTTTTTAATCCGTATATTTCTAGCTTTCTTTTTTGAGTTAGTGATAACCATAAAATTTGTCTTTTCCAAATTAATTGAAAACTTATTTGTAGCACAGTAACGAAATATTTTTTCAATTTCTATATTCATAACGTTTTCAACTTCTTCAATATTTGTGTTTGAATAAAATACATTTGTGTCGTCTGCGAATATTCGGAATGAAAGTTTGCTACTACAATTAGGCATGTCATTTATATAAATTAAGAATAATAATGGTCCGAGAGTTGAACCTTGAGGAACTCCACAAGTCATTGTAAGCATTTCTGAATCACAATTACCAATCCGTACATACTGTTTCCTATTCATTAAATAACTCTTAAACCAATCCAACTGGGTCCCACGTACTCCATATTTGTCAAGTTTAGATAAGAGAATTTGATGATTGACAGTATCAAAG